CAATTTTTTTTTTTTTTTTTTTTTTATGAACACCAGCCACCCTCTCTGACTCTCCTCGCGAACGTGCACGCGCTTATCACTTATACAGAGCGACACTTACGAGTGCACTAATATACACAGGCAGACATACACATTATCATCCCATACTCTTATCCTAGTTGGAAACCCCTGAAACGTCGACTCCCTCGAGCTGCCGTTGCTGTCACTCGTTAATGCTCACCCCCAATGAAACTTCCCTAGAACGCTTTCCTGCCTTTCCCTGGTACAGTCACTATTTTGTACTCTTTCTCTTATTGCTGCCAAGCACTCTCCACGAGTCCATCCCTTTGAAGACTCTATATTTAATTTTCCTAATAGCTATCGCGTAATCGTAATTAGTATATTTGATTATATTACTGTCTTTTAGAGAATTGAAATGGTAACTGGAGCAAAGTCAAATAACGGAAGCGAAGGAACCCTTAGAGGTACCCAGGACATAACTCAAAGCCGAACGTCAAGCCCATAGGGGTAATATCGGTAGCTAGTAGCTGAATGACCGTAGGGGTAGGTGGTAGGACGTCAGTGAGCGACCATCGAGTAGCCGTCACAGACCATGTAATTAGATTTAACCCACCCTCGGACCGTCGGCGAAAGCCGAAAGCCCCGGTCCTGACCGGTGCGAACCACTCCGTAACTAGTCCCGTTCTATTCCACTATTCTCCTCGCACCACCCTCAACTACCCTCCTTCTAGCTACCATTGTAGTTTAGGTTTGGCATCAGTTACAGACACCGCGTTCGGACACGTGAACGGATTGACTTGCGAGTCCCTAATCCTATAGAGGGTTCGTCGTAAGGTATAACGCTCAGACTTATTTATCGCACAGCCAATAGAAAACGGTTTCTCGATAAATTTTCCAAAATCTTATCAGACGACGTTTCAGATACTAAACGAAGCATCGATGATCATATTAAATGATTATAATATATTAAAAGAGACACCATGTAGCTCCTGGAGGCCGTCATCGCTTCTGCGTGGCGGCGGCGCCTTCTTCGCGGCCCCAATGTAATTTTCTGAATGACTGCGTAATTAAAACTCTAATTTCCTGCACTTAATTGACCGGAGTCTTGGCTCCCCGTACCTTACCTCGCCCATGTGATCTCCGTCTCTCTCTCGCTCTCTCTCTCTCTCTCATTCTCCCAAGTTTTACTATGTATGCCTTTTTCTTGACTTGCCCCTCCACTCTCCTTTTCAGCCCAGCAACATTCTTTGTGTGCACAAGTGAACTCGTGAGCGTGCGGTACATTTAAATAATCGATTTGCTACCGAGAGCCCCGTTACCAAGTAGTCCCGATGTATAAGCTGCTTTGACTCGCTACGCTACGCTTCGCCGAGAAATCCAAAGAAACCGAAACGAAGGACACTCTTCCGCTTGGAACAACTTCCGCCAATCGGTAGTATCACTGTGTTATAAGTATCCCCACAGAATCCATTAGCTTTTCATTTTTCATGTGTCTCGGATATTTTATTGATGTCCAAAATTATTTTTGATCCTTGTACAGCATCCCGGTAAGTGAAATTATATATATATAGAAATAATGAATATCCAAAAGCGTGTATA